AATATACAATTCTGTAGGGTCTGTACAATATACAATTCTGTAGGGTCTGTACAATAATTCACTTCAGGTGATAACCGATCTAGTATAGCTATGCCTTCTCATGGTCCGCCAAACGACGGATGGATAAAATGTTTCATCGCAATCAAAATTTAACTATTGATTTTTAAATAATCAATCGAAGAGGACGATCGCGTCCCAACTAAAAGCTATATATATAGCTTACAAGCGGGGGAAGGGGCCTACAGGCGTATACCGTAACTCGTGTCGAGTGTCACTTAAATAACTCCCATAAAAAAACAAGTGTTAAATTTGGCGTTTGAAAAAAACTCACGCGTCCGTTTTGACATTCGCAGGTGAAAGTCTGGTTCCAGAATCGGCGCATCAAGTGGCGCAAACAGCATCTGGAGCAACAGCACGCGAAGCTCGCAGAGCTAGGCATGCTGTCGCGGCAATGCGACCACGATCCGGATACAGACTCAGACTCGGATTGCGGTTCGTCCGTCACCGAGCAGGAGACGTAGAGATACGCGTATCTGCCCGCTGCGCTAGATACATGCTGCTCGCGTATACATAGCTGTTAATATTGTTATTATAATTAATTATTATTATTATTATTATTGCGTTTTATTGTGCCGTTGTTGTCGTTGTTGATGTTTGTAATTTTCGTTTCTCGCTTGTACAGTTTTATCATGATCGTCACTGTTGTTTGGACGAGCTGAATGCGCTTTGCTGGGGGAATCGCAGTGACTCGAGAATAGAAACACGCCCAAGATTTGCTTGTTCTCGTTGTACCCGCTAGTGCTGTACACTTGCATGTATAGAAACGTACTGTGTGTGTGTGATTATGCGTGCGTGCGTTTATTTCTGTAAATACGAAACACATATTATGATTTGATGTATTCTATATGTAACTATGATATTTGATTTGTAGCTAGTAAAGCACGCATCTATAAATAAATAAATAAATATATATATATATATAGGCCTATATATAAATATATATTGAAGCAGTCTATATATATATACAGACTGCTTCAATTACGATCAAGTAGACAGTGTAAATTTCGCCGCATTTCTCCTCCTTCCGTGGCAACACGCAGCCGCCCCTCGGTGGCCGGTCTGTCGGCGGCCCGCTTCAAAGCCGCGATGAAAAGCACGAGTGCTCATTCTGCACGTTCTTACGGGAGCAAAGGTGTAAAGGATAACATCTTACATATTTTATGTTTCCGATGTTTGCTCAATAAGATTTCATGCTCGAGCACGTACGGCGCAGCTATATACGGAGGCGGCGTGGCCTCCGCTGCCGGCTGTCGGCACGGCCGCACAAAGGCAAGATCATAGCAAAACAGCGAGTAATTCTTCAATCCAGTTTGCTCGCTAAAAGGGCGCAACCCGAGTTCATATCGCGTCGGTGGCGGTCCGCCGTGGCATGCGGCCACCGCCATGATGGAAATCGGCGCTTCGGTTTAGCGCTCGCGGTGTCACGCGCGCACGCGCGCACGGCAGGGGGAAGGAGTTACACGGCGATTGTCAGCGAACACGAACTCGTGGCCCTTTGTTGGCTGCCGGGGTGGCTCCTATACACGCGGCGGCGGCGGCGGTGAAGGTGTGCTTTGTAACCGCAGGACGTGCCCGCCTCGCCGGCACACGTATTACTATCGCGGGCGAAATTTCATTACGAGGTGTGTGCTTCAATAGAGAAATTCCTGCCAGATTCCTAACACGACACGGGTCGTTTAATTGTGTATATAGCGGCCCCGTATCGAGTTCGCAACGCGAAGAGCGGCTGTCAAAGGGTTAATAATAATTGCGACAGCTATAAATGGAAGCAACACTGTCAGTTGCCACGCTATCATTCTCATTACTGCTTAATGACAGACAATATTTCAACCCTAAACGCCTGTTAATTACATCGTCAGCTCGGCAATAAAGACATCATTCAGGTATTATTACAAGACCGGGACAATGGCATGTTTGTAAAGCTACACCGACACATTATAACTGTATCGCCGTAGCGCCGGGAGATGGAAATTGTCCCTTCAAATAGAGAGGTGGCTGATTGCAGCGCTTTGGATGCGGTCAAGTCAGCCAGCGTTCATCGCGTATGAAAGTCTATCATAGAATTTCCTTTCTGATATTCGCGAGCAAAATAAACTTTACATATAATTTGACATTCGGCGATTGTTGCATCAAAATTCGAGCGAGCGTCTGAATGATGTATTTATCCCGGCGACGTCCTCAGGCGGTTGTTTGCCCGTGAATCAAGACCGGTTCAGTTACCCGTCACCATAATGACGACCCCGCAAACGAACGTGTAACGCACACCCATCGAAGTATATCGTAACGGAAAAAGTCATTAACCAATCCTTATTGCATTCTACTCCTATAATCCAGCGCCTCTCGTATGATAAAGGGGATTACGGGAGCGGACGTGTCACTATGCTCGTTATATGCACAGCTATAGAAATCTCGCATTCATTATCGTCGAGTGTTCATGATGGCATATTGCATAATTATACCCGATTGTTGTGATAGAGTGCAATTATATCACGTCATGATATGGAAATATAATTACGTTATATTCTGACTACATACGAATTTGTTTTGATTTTGCTTGTGCCGAAATATTTTAATATATCCACAGTGACATTTCATAATATACACGTTATTAATGTTAATAGACATTGATGTGTATTTAAATCATGATGCGTGCGTGCGGGGTACGTATGTGCGCGAGCGTGTGTGTGTGTGTGTGTGTGTGTGTGTGTGTGTGTGTGTGTGTGTGTGT